ACCTAGTTTTGAATAACAATCCAATTTTTTTGTAAAGGAGTAAGTGCTGCTTGTAAATTATGTAAATTTATATGTACATTCATGATAATTCAAATAGCTTTATTGTAATTTTATATAGAGTATCTTGTAACACAAAGCAGTTGTGTAATTAGAGTACAATGTAGAGCAAGATTTGTATTATCAGTTGTGTAGGCAGAGCATCTGTAGTAGTTGTTGTGTGTAATCGTAGTGTTAGTAGTGCAATCGTAGTGTAAGTAACGGTCGTATTGTAAGTAATGTAAGTAGTGGAGTACGTGATATTAGTATTGTAAGTAATGTAAGTATTGTATGCAATAGTAAAAAAAATAAAAAAAAATAAACCAGGAAGGTGTCATAATCCGGTAAATGGACAAAACTGTCAGGGAAAATTTTCGTGGCCAGCGCTCTTCTTGGAGCTCTAACTTCATGTTATTTGGTATTGTTTCCATCATGCATTTGACAAAAATGTACTCTGCATTGTGTAATTTCTGGTTTGAGTCATTTTGAAGCTCTTTGACATGAAACTTTATGGGAGTAGAAATGCTCTTAATCCCTTCTGGCTACTGAAGGTATGATGAGCTCCTAAAATAAAAGAAACTTTGGCATAATGCAGACTTTTCCCTCCTTTTGTGGTGTAAGTTGTCAAAATTTTCTTGAATTTTGATACTATATTCTAGGTATTATAATTTGATTTATATTTTTTTTTCAGATTTGGTTTAATGATACCTGGGGATGAAAGTATTCCCCAAGGTCCAATGTTGACTGCCATGGCAACTTGTCACTCGCTAACAGTAATAGATGGCAAATTGACTGGTGATCCCCTGGATCTTAGGATGTTTGAGGCTACCGACTGGGTAAAATGGTCTTCTCAATCTATTTTTCCTCTGTCCCCCTTCAAAATCACTTCTTTCAGGTCTGGAGATGCTGGGTAGTGCATTATGTAACACTGTTACAAAATAATGACCATTGATTGTTATTAACTATATACTTGATGTAACAAACTATTCATTTTGGTTGTTTGTCACAAATTCGTTATAACAAGGTCTTCAATGTAACAAACCCTCAATATAACAAATCAGTTTCTCCAGAGTAATATGAAGTAGTATTTTATAGTCTGGCAATCAGTAAAGGTCTTTAAAGGAAATTAGCCAAGTGTGCTTGCACAAAATGGTTCTTGGTAAAAATAATATAATAATTGTTATAAATTGTATTCTTTGTGAAAAAGTAAAATACTGACTATAATATGTACTACTTCCTGCAAAAGTAAATTTTAGCAGTTAAAGAAACACCACTTCATGACTGAGAAACAATCTATAAAATTTTAAAAATTAAAAAGCAGACATTTCTTTCTCTTTTTAGTATTATGGACACAATTTCAGCATAATATTATAAGATGATTAGACTTTTGGTGGGTAAGCGATGGTTTAAAAGATGACATTGTTTAAGTAGATATAAAGCCATCTATTAAGCCGGATTGTTCTGTGATAACATCACTTATTAATGATGTAGATGATAATGAAGTCTGAATGTGGTCCAAGTGTTTGGAAATTTGATTTTACCGAGTGAATGACAACAATAATTATCATGATCTTCTTGATGCAATTATTAAAAGTTGACTTGAAGAATTTATAGAGGTTGTTAACAAACAGGTTCTTTGGGATTGGTTAAAATATAAATTCAACTACAGCTAATTATCAATTATAACAAAGCAAAGTGCCAGTGGCCCAAAATATCAATTTCACTCAGATTGTTAACTTATTTCATGAATATGAAACAAGCCAGGATACACTGTAGGTCATTTAGCTGAGTTAATCAAATTATTTTTAAATATATGATTTTAAAATTATTTAAAATTATTTTTAAATAACTTGATTAAATGATTGTTTATTAAATAAATTTGATATTCATCAAATTCCATCAATAAACTTCTAAGCTAAAGGCCAGGCATAAACTGATCTTTTTATCCATTGTTAATTAAGATTATTGTGATTCAACTATGTTACTATTGACTCTGAGTCCAATTTGTGTGACACATTTGATCACGAGTCACTTGCCACTTTCAGAAAGTCCTTTGCCATCATTTGTAATGCTGCGACATATATAGTTGCTTTACCCTTTAGAAGCCATTGATAATGTACTTATTTTCTCATGATGTATTGTTTTACAGCTATATATTATTTCCTCCATTCTTCTTTGTTCTTTTGGTTCTTCAAGCTACACTTTTCTTGATACTGCTCAATCTTTTCAGATCCTTGAAGAACCTGGTGAAGACAATACAAAGTTTGACAACATAGTTCCGACTATTGTTAAACCCAAAACTGCTGAGGAGTTCAATGTCGAATCTGCTTTGCGGGGGCATGTAAGTTGATTATTGATCATATACTGCTTAAGTATACAACTAAGAATGATAATATGGTGTAGATTCAGTCTACATGATCTGTAGTCCTTAGACATCTAGTTTCTTACAAACATACTTACATTGTTGTATTAAAATTTGTCTAAAGTTCTGTTTTTAATTATTAAAGATACAATAACTGTTGTGGTGTCCCCATCCTTAACGCATGAATTTAAGAGTCACTTGGGAAGCCATACAAAAAGAGCATTACTCTCAATGCTGTTGGCATGCTTTGAGGTAATTGTTACTCCTCATGAATGCGATGCAAACCCATCACAGCCTGACTCCCAATGGAATCATATCATAATCATAATTCAGCTTGTCAAGAGTCATTAGCCTAGCTAGACTACTCCATCAGCAAGTAGCTGAAGACTTAATTATCATTGATGATGTAATGCAGCGTTTAACACTGTTGTCACAAATACATGTTGCTAGGTTACTATTTTAAGGCCCAGTTCAGATGTTGTACTTCTGCCATGCTGAACTAATTTCAGGAATTATGTTCAACATAAGCACGGAGGAAATAGAAGGTCTGAATCAAGCTTTTGAATTACGTTTGGCAAGCAATTAAGTTCAACAAGGTCTGCTGTGCTACACAACTCTGGCATGGCAATGATTCAAATGTTGTGCTTCTGGCATGCTAAACAAATTTAATAAATTACATTAATGTAATTTGGCAGAATTTCATTCCAGTGGGGAGTTATGAGGAGAATATTGTTACGTGGCTTCAGTAAATCCTGAATTTGGTATGACTCTGGCATCACGTCTAAATCAAAGTTGTGTTTCTGCTGTGCTACAATCAAACCTAATGTCAATTAAGTTCATCACAGCAGAAGCATAACATCTTAAATGGACCTAATCTACCAAACTAAAACTCAGTGATCATTACTGTTGTTTAATCCAGCTATAATATCGTCCTTGAATTTCTATCACTTTTTGCTATTTGTAATAGAACTTTTGGTCTAATATTTCTTGCACCAGACACCATATGAGATAGCCATTGTTCGCCAGTTCCCATTTTCATCAGACCTCAAGTGCATGAGTGTTGTGTGCCGCACATTAGGAGCGCCTAACATGGATGCATATGTTAAAGGTGCCCCAGAGACCATTGCAAGTTTTTGTCAACTACAAACTGGTAGGAACTGTAGCTTTACTTCATTTGTAATATGTAGGACAGTCAGAAACCTGCAGTTTGCCTTCCTTGATGTAGAGATTACTCGATCAGCGCCTTCCATGTGGGCATAAATTTGGGTGGCTTACATGTACACCCACATGTAGCTTGTTTGCCATAAAGTAAGACTAGACAAGTCGCTTAAAATATGAGCAAAGTAGGAAGTATGAATTAAACTTATCAAGTTCAACAAAATGATGTTCTGTGATGAGCTTTTTGAGTAATGCCAAAGCAAGCTAAAACAGTCAAAGTGTGCATTCATCTCAATGTTCCATTTCCCCACAATTATTAAAAGCTCTTGGCTAAAACTAAAATATATAGTGGTAAGGTGCAAAAGTGATGCTTTCACTACAGGTGAGCTTGACCTTGGTGAAGGTTTAGTGATATTTCACAGATCTGTGTTTTTTATTTCAGTGACATTTCAAAGGGTTTGACAAAAAAGTGCTGTTAATGTTCATAAAGTTTTATTCAACAAATGTGAACCTTAGTGTGGACTTAACGGAATTCCTCAGAATAGGCCCTTTGCACAATCCAGTCACATTGTACAAAATCACACATGCTGGGATGCAAGTTGCATAGTGGGACTTCCAAAACAAAGCAACTCCTACCAGTCCACCTTGACCTGCCTTTGTTTTAGAACTGTGCGACTTGCATCCCAGCATGTGTGATTTTCTACCACGTGACCGGATCGTGTGAAGGGCCTATTGCATTGCTCATCCCTACTGAGCATGACTTTTGTGTAATTAATGTGTGCACACAAGTGCATGTACATACATAGGTGCAAAAAGGCATCAAATATCCAAAATTGTCTCAAAGAACATTTCCAAATGTCAGCCAAAATGAAAAAGAGTAATTTTTCACTGGATGAGTGAAATGAAATACAAGTAAGTGAAATTTTTTTTCTCACATGCCCCTGGGGCCTGGGTATAGGTCATGTGACTTATTGGGCAGGCAGTTGTTTTTGTTGCCTCTGCCATTGCCGACTTTCCCACCCACACACCGGAAGATTTTAAGTTTTTATACAATGCCAGTATATAATGTACAAGCCTTGAACTTTTTTTGTTATCTCCAGTCTTTAGCATAATGCTCCTTTTATTAGCTTTGATTCTGCAATAAGGGTCAGGCGGAAGCAGTCAGCTTGACAAGGCTGCCAGTGGTGTGAGAGAAGAGTATTTCCTTCATAATGTTTGAGAGATTTAGTTAACTGTACAGAATACCAGGAGAATAGGTGTGTATCTGAGAAACTCCCTACAGATAATCCAGGAGAGTTGGCACTGATGATGTAAACAACAAGCTTAAGCTTGACAGCAAAATAAATGCTAGTTTTCTCCTGAACAAGCATGATGACCTGTGTTTTTTGTTACATAAATTATTCTCTTTAGTTTAAAAAATTAAAAAAGCATGCACAAAACCGTCACTCAAGGATGCAAATTATGACATTGAAATCAATGACTCAAAGAAACTTTTTGAGTCAACATTGTCTGAAATTGTGTAATTTTTTCATAAATTATATATTACATCATTGCATACATGTATGCTGAAGAGTTTCTTCCTATCAGGAGAAGTATTTCTTTAAAAGACTTTGTTTTCAGCGACAGCAAAATGAACACTCCCTGTTAAAAAGGAAAGATAGAAATGAAGGTGTATTAATATTGTTGCTAATTCCCATCAGATGTCTAAACCACAGCCACAGTTATGATTGATACCTTCCTTGAATGTATTTTAAAAATGTAGATTTAGATTTGATAAAAAGTCAACTTGAGTGAGCCACACATTTTTAATAATCTGTAACTTTTAGTTCCCGTAGATTTTCACGATGTTCTTCAACACTATACCCTGAGTGGTTACAGAGTACTAGGTTTAGCATGGAAACCATTAGATAGAAAATTGTCATGGCACCAGGTCCATCGAGTCACACGGTAATTTTGATATTCATGTAGTGTTACATACAGTGTATGCTAGTGTAACTAAAAGTGAAAATGTGAAGGAATAGAGTGGTCTTGTATTTAAAGGGGCTAGGTCACAGTATTTTACTAGGTAACTGTTTTCTTCAAGCATGAGCTCTTAACTTCAAGTTGGTTGAGCAGCAGTCTTTTATTGGCAAAATATCAGCCACAAATCAAAGAAGGGTGATTTCTGAGCATGATAAACAACACTCTTATTCTCTTATTGTGATATTTCAGTTAATTTCATGACCATGCAGCAGCTGGTACATTGTAAGAGCTGAAATTACCTAAAATTGGGTTACCTAGCACCTTTAAATTGAAGGACAGTAATTTATCAATGTGACATGTAGGACATAAAAGGTAAATAATGTACTTAAGTTTTCAGTTGTACACATTATAATTGTCAAAAAAAAATTAATGTCAAAAACACATTGAGGCAAAAATATGTACGCGTTATTTTATGGTTTTGTGGCAACTGTAATTCATTCATTACAAATAATAAACACTTTTGGATCATGTTAAGTGTAATATCAAGAATTACATAGACCATGTAAGGAGGAATAACCTACCAAATCCAACATGAATGCTGAGGTGCATGTAGGTAACACACTCTAAGCTATCACATGAAAGCCAAATTCAATAGTTGTTTTTTTACTAATTCATAAATATCTGTTGATAAGCATTTGAAATCTTCCAGCCTATTTTTGCAATCTCTAGATTTGCACTGCTAAAGCCAGCACTTGCTGTTTCCTGACATCAACTGTCTTTTATTTTTTGTTGTTGTACAACTGATATCAATTGTGCAATAATAACTTGGACAAATAATGCAAATCTTTTTTAATTTGGTCAGGTTAATTAGCACATTATGAAAAACTGACTAGATTTTAAACCATTCAGAGGTGGAGAATATTTTAAATGAAAAATTTAATAATAGCGAGTGGTCAATTGTCTGAAATTTTGTGTAATATAGAAAAATTGCAATGTTGGTATTTATGAGAAGAGTAACTTGGTTGAGTAGTGCAGGGTTCATACAGGACATGGAGCGTCCCCTATACCTCTTCTGAAAACAGTTTCACGCATAAGTAATTGGCCTTTTCACGCATTATGAAAAATTTGAAAAACAGCTTCACGTTCTCAGAAAAAAGCAAGCAATCACATTTCAGTTAAAAATGCGAAGGCTACAGCATGTAAATCATGTTTCATTAAAAAAATACAAAATAATGTATAGTTGTAAAAATTATTTTATTTCACAGGGATTACATAGAGACAAAGCTGATATTCCTAGGGCTTTTGATCCTTCAAAATGCTCTCAAACCACAGACTTCACCTGTCATAAGAATGCTTCATAGTGCTGATATCAGGACTGTGATGGTGACAGGTAGGATACATTGTCGTAAAGCAAAAGAAGAAGCCTAAGCCGTGTATTACACTGTGATAAAACACGACGGACATTTGAGAACAATCGAGAAATGTAGAAAACACTCACCTGCGGAAAGTGTTTTCTACATTTCCCTTGTGTTCTCAAATGTCTGTCATGTTTTATCACAGTGTAATACACAGCTTAGGCTTCTTTATTTGTTAAATAAACTTGTGCCAAAAAGTTAATTTTAGCAGACATTTTGGGCCTAGCCCTTCCTTAGTGCACTGAGGAAAGGCTATACGTACATGTAGGTCTGAAACGTCTACTACATAACTGACTTTCTGGCATTTTTTATTACTATTTATAACTTTAGAACTGTGATTATATGATTCATGACAGATGTAAATTCAAGTACACTGATGCAGTAACAAGCATGGTTATTCTGCATGCAGTTGCTCAATAATTATTATTATTGCTGACTGAAATGTACTAATAATGCAAATTTCATGCAGCTGACAAGTATTCGTTACAGTGCTACACACCATACTGTTACCACTTGAGAAAGTTTTTGATTGAAGTTTGACATCTTTTTGACAACTTTTTGCTGGTTTCTATTTGAAATGGCCAGTCAAAACATCAGAACTGTTGAGGGCAGAGATGTTAAATACACCAATAATGTTCATCCTGATCGATGTTCAGATTGCTATTGATGTTGGAATTCAACCCAGAGCAGTGCAGTTTCTTTTGGCAGCAGCATTATTTTGTCAACTTCCTGTAATGTTTTAATTAGAGATTAACTCTGAGGTTGTTATTGGCAGGAGATAACATGTTGACAGCAGTGAGTGTTGCTAGAGACTGTGGTATGATTGGGTCTTCTCACAAGGTAGAAAGATCTGTTCCTTTTTTTGTCACATCCTAGTTTGTTTACATATTCAGTAGGTACACAAATCTCAGTATAACTATCTTTGCATCCTTGGAGACCAATGGTTACTTAAATTGGTAATGACTTGAAGCAAGCCAAGAATGATAATAGGGTCAACAAAAATTTACCATGATAGCACAGTAGCCCCTGGGCAGTAAGTCTTATCGGAATACTTCCTAATCTATTTTGGAAACCTGGTCACTTATTGAAAATTTGTGCCATGGTCATTTGTGTACCCTGCCACTGGTCTTCTTTATCTGACTGCACCTTGTTTCTGCCTTCCTATTCAGCATTGCCTTTTCCATAAAATATTATCACAATGTCAGGCATGTTTAAACCATGAAATGGTGAAATGACCAAAATTAATGGCACTACAGGTACATGTAAGAGCCACTGTGGGATATGGATATCTGTAGGGGTTAACCCTTAAAATAATTGAGAACTAGCCAATGTCAAGTCCCTGATATTAAGGCTAACCTAAGTGCTACTTAGGCTAACCAGAGCACAATTTAGGCAACAATGTAGATTCTTACAGCAAATTGACACAATATCTATTGATCGCCAAATTAAAAGATGGAAGTTCACGATGCTTTTAGGCCATTGCTTTCCAAGCTGTTTATTTTTGTGGTTTGTTTTTCTTTTTTTATCGTATCAGGGATTCGCCATGTTCTTCACAAAGCCAACAATGAAGCCAAAGGGCTGGGAGGGGAGGGTAAGGAGTGACATACACTTGTAGGGAAAGGAAGAGAGGTAATCAAACTTAATGCAGTTGAACCTCCAGTTGAAACCACCTCTCATAAGCAGCCAACTCTCCTCAGCAACCAGTTTTCCAAAAATAATACCAAAAGTTTCCCAGCCAAATCACTATTATTTGGAACCTCTTGTAAGTGACCACCTCTTGTAAGCGACTGCGACCACTTTTAGAGCTAAAAGTTTGAAATTTTCTTTTGTTTTTAACCTCTCGTAAGTGACCACTTGATAGAAAATAGAGCAGAAATTGGATAACAAGGTGTTGTAATATCATCACATTCCTTGGTAGTACAAAAGACGGAAATTTCTCATCAGGAAGTACTGGATTTTTTTCTCGAAATTGACTTTTTACGCGAATCAGTAAAACATTTAAAAATTTAAAGAACTCTATCAGTCTTAAAAGAGACGACCTTTTAAAAATGTCTTATAATTACAGAAAATTGGAACTGATTTACTGTTCACAAGAACAGTTCACAATTAACATGTAAATCACCAGCAATATAATAGGGCTGTCAGACTTAAAGCTAGCAATCCAATCCTTATTATTTCTATTTTACCAAATCTTGGCAAAATCTTAGACAGGGCTGAGTCATTGTATAAGCACCTTAGTCGACATGATTTACTTAGTGATAAGCAGTGGGGTGTCCTAAACATTCCACAATTAACACTGTTTCTAGTCTCGCCAATGAAATCCTACTAAACATGGAAAGAGGTAAGTTGTTTGGGGCTGTATTCTTGGACCTATCTAAAGCCTTGATACGGTCGACCACACAATTTTGCTGCGCAAGTTGTAGTCTTTAGGGCTAACTTCTGATGCAGCTAAATGGTTTGAATCGTATCTCAGTGGCTGTTTGCAGTTTACATCCTGTAGCCCCGAATTATCTGATATGTTGCCTGTTACACACAGCATGCTCCAGGGCAGCATTTTGGCCCCCATTTTGTTCCTTATTTATAAAACAAAAACAAGCACTTTAGAGTAGCCCTGTATGCAGACGATGCGGTACTTTATTGTTATTCTTCAAACCCAGCTGACTTAGAAAGCACTCTCAACAACGACTTGCTTGCTATTGCAAATTGCTTAAATGATAACAAGCTTACTCTTGACCTCGACAAGACCAAATTCATGCTTATTGGTAGTGATTTTAGGCTATGTAAAGTCAATAGTATATCGGTGTCTGTTTGTGGCACTGAAGTTGATGGTGTGGAGAGTTTTAAATATCTAGGAGTTGTACTGTCCTCTAAATTTACATGGTCTGAACATGTTGATCATGTAATACCTAAGGTGAACCAAAGATTAGGCCTTCTGCACAGAATTAAGCACTTACTACCATTTAGTGCACGCCTTCTTTACTACAAAAGCCTCGTCCTTCC